GAAAACAGATCCCCCAAAGCTCCGGTTCGAGGCGGAGGTCGCTGCTCGGGGGGGGTGAAAAATATTTAATTTGAAGGTTTCAGGGGTGGGAGGAACCCAAAAAGCGCCGGAATTCCCGCCCTTACCGGTCCCTCGGCGCTTTTCCTCGCTCCAGGCGCGTTTCCCTCGGGAATTCCGCCCTTCATCCCTCCCGGGGGCTCCGTCGAAGCCCTCAGTTAAGGCCGAGCTCAAATTTAAGCCGGGGCTGGAGCTTTGCTGATCTCGGCAGCGGCGGCAGCGGCAGCGGCGGCAGCGAACCCGCCAGAGCCGGCAGGAAGCTCGACCTGATTTGCATATTTATGTTAATTAAGAGCTCGCGGACCTTTCGGAGCCACTTTGCAGATGGTTGGAAGATTTTTTTTTTTGGTCGAGCTTTGGGTTTGTTTGCTATTTTTTTTTTAATTTTGTTTATTAAATTGATCTTATTTTATTTATTTATTATTTTTAATTATTATATTTAAAATTGTATTTATTTTATTTATTTATTATTTTCATTTATTATCTTTTTAAATTTCATTTGTTTTATTTATCTTATTTTATTTATTTATTATTTTATTATCTTTTAAATTCATTTGTTTTATTTATTTTATTTTATTTATTTATTATATTTTTAAATTTTTATTTATTTTATTTATCTTACTTTATTTATTATTTTTATTTATCTTTTTTTAAATTTATTTCTTTTATTTATCTGATTTTATGTATTTATTATTTTTATTTATTATATTTATAAAAAGTTATTTATTTATTTTTCTGATTTTGTTTATTTATTTATTATTTTTATTTTTATATTTTTAAATTGTATTTATTTTATTTATTATTTTTATTTATTATCTTTTTAGTTTTTCTTTATTTATCTAATTTTATTTATGTAGCTATTATTTTTATGTATTATATTTTAAAATTTTATTTATTATTTTTATTTGTTATTTTTTATTTATTACCTTTTTAAAAATTTTATTTATTTTACTTATATTTATTTATTATTTTTATTTCTTATATTTTATTTCTTATATTTTTAAATCTTATTTATTTTATTTATCTTATTTTATTTATTTATTATTTTTATTTATTATCTTTTTTTTTATTTCATTTATTTCCTTTCCCCTATCCCATTTATTTATTCTCTCTCCCATGACCATTATTATCGCCATAATCACCTTCCCACCCCTCCTTCCCTCCTCCCCCCCCCAGGAGCGGCG